CTAAAGAACCAGGGTTAGAATTCAGATTCCATGCAGACTGCTCCATCCAGCTTCTGCCCTTGGGTGAGTCCATCCATGAATTTCTCGGCTTTTGCGGCAGAGATGGCAGCACCAGCGCTGGGATTTTGGACTGCTCTGAGGTCAACGTCCCCATCCCCCTCGTTGTTCCAGGGTCAACTGTTTTCATGCAATGACTTCACATGGCGATAGACATGAATGAACTGTAATACACGTACAACATGATCAACCCTTATCAACAAAACACGGAGCAAGAAAAAACAGGTACAGGGAGTATGTGCTACGTGACTACATTTACCTGAAGGTCAAAAGCAGGCCAAACCGACCTCTGCTGTTGGAAGTCGGGGTACAGATTAAGGGGGAGGAAGGAGGCAAGAGAAGACTTCTGAGGTCACAGCCTGTTTGTCTGCTGCTGGTTACAGGAGGGTGTTCACTTCGTGAAAATTCATCGAGCTGCCCGCTGATGATCTGTGCACTTTTCTGCATGTGTATATGTATGTTTGTGTCTATATGCATATTTTCAATCAGCTTATTTGGGGGGAAAAAAAAACCTGCCAGGTGGGACAAGTGTTCTGATCTGTTTACTACCTGCTCCTCTGATTCACCTGGACACCACCATGTCCTTCTTTGTATGAGAGCCTCTAACTGCCCTTAATTTGGGGAGCAGAAAAACAGAGGGGAGAGGAGGGGATGGAGGAGTTTTCCAGTTTTAAATTTTATTTGGATTTTTATGGGGACTGACCGTATAAAAGCTAAGAAGTATTCAGATTCAAACCATTTCCCTTTACAGGGTGAGTACATACGTTTTAGAAATAAAAGTTCTGCACTTTTCCTCCCATTAGCATGACTGTCTCTCCTACAGTGAATTAAGAAAATAAGGATCAATACATAAACTAACTCTGAAATCAGATACTATGTTTCTGAAGAATTTACAGTCACTGGGATAATTTGAAGTTTCTAGAATTTTCCTCTGTCACATTTCTGCTCTCAGCCTCCACCAGGAACGATGGAGTACACACACACATTTACCTCCAAATCACTGAAGCCTCGCAAATCCCCAATTCCTTACCCCTCCACAGAAATCATCTGCTATAAATGGCTGTTACAGAAAAGCTCAAATAGGAAAGAGCATGGAGACAGGTTGCAAGAGACAACTTGCTGCATAAAGTCAAAGTAAAATGAGCCTTTTGAAAAACTGAAATGACTGAAACATCAGGCTGTACACCAGAAACTGCCACAACATGGTAAACTGACTATACTTCAATTTTTTAAAAAATCCATACAACAAATATTTGTAAACTGCCTGCTATGGCCCAGGCACTGTTCATAAAACAAAACAACAAGTAACAGTAATAATATAAAAAACTGAAATGAGTTTTTGAGTTGTCTAACCAAAACCATCCCAGTCTGCCATTTGTCAAGAAGGGCTATCGGGAGGATTAAATGTGACGATCTCCGTCAGGCTCGCAGGAGCGTGGAGCCCCCGATAAGCACACATTTGGGGTTAGCAACTAATACGATTCTCATCACATTAATCTAGCACAACCCTAGTGACGAGAGTGAACAAACCAACCATCCAAAGCACGGACTGCAAGTGTGACCACTGTCAACTCCACAAGCAAAAGGAAACGTCTGGGGACAGTGCCTCCACCCTGTGGAGCATGTGGTGTGTTTTAGGGTTACTCCTGGGGGTGGGGGGAGGCCACTCAGCTCTAGTGGACATGACTTTGCAACGTGCTTACAGCGAGCTCCCCGGACTGGACTGTCTGAAGCAAATCACTGAAGAACTAACTCCTCATCGGTTTAAAAATAAGGGTTTATTAATAACACCAAGAGAGTCCTCACCTCCCAAAATAACCATGAGATGCTTTCTATATTAGTCTGCTCAGGCTGCCAGCATAAAGCACTGCAGGCTGGGTGGCTTAAACCACAGAGGTTTATTTTCTCATAGTGCTGGAGGCTGGGAAGTCCAAGATCAAGGTGTCAGCAGATTTGGTACCTTCTGAGGCCCCTCTCCTTGGCTGGCACAGGGCCACCTTCTCTCTGCATCCTCGAGACTTTCCTCTCATCCCTCGGGTCTCCTCTTGGGTCCTAACCTCCTCTTCTTAGAACACCACTCAGATTAGATTAGGGTCCACCCTAACGGCCTCATTTTCATTTAATTATCTCTTTAAAGGCCCTGTCCCCAAATACAGTCACTTTCTGAGGTGCTGGATTAGGACATCAACCTGTAAATTTGGGGAAGGACACAAGTCACTTCCCAAATGTTCTCTTCCAACAGCTCACTGCTTCCTTAGTTACTAAATGAGAAACTGAACTCATAGTTAAGAACAGAATCCAAACGTGAATTTCTTGCCCAACAAGTTTTTCTTCTTTTTTTTTTAAGACAGGATGAGTCACCTTAAGCAGACAACACGGGATATGGCTGTTCACAGTGCACATTCACCCCACTCACCCAGGGGGTCCTAACAGCTGCGATTTTGCTCACTCCTCCCCCGAGGGCCACGGCAATGTCTGGAGACAATCTGGTTGTCCCAAGTGAGGGCAGGGTGCTACTGGCATCTTAGTGGGAGGAGGCCAAGGACACTGCAACAAGACAGCTCCCACAACAGAGAATTATCAAACTCAAAACAGCAGAAGTGCCAAGGCTGAGAATCCTGAGGTCTAAACTGGCCAGTCCCCACTGCACCCTGCAGCACAGCTGACGGCCAGCCAGGCCAGCCGGGCAGGGAGGGCGGGGCGCTGCCAGTGGGGAGGGCTGCCCATGGGCTCTTCCCTGGGGTTCAGCAAAGGCCCCAGCGATCTCACTGGGAGGAGACATGAGCTTCCTGCCTACCCGGCTTCCCAACTCAAGTGAGAAAGCTTTCTTTCCTCAGGGTCCCTTCCAACTGTCCTCTCCCCCAACCCTCGAAAACTTAAGACAATGATAAAAAGCAACAATAAGATCCCACATGTTTTTCATGGACAACCTGGCAAAATTAAAAAGAATTTTTTTTAATCTATTAACACAGCCAAGTTATCCCATTTCTTTCCCCCTTGTAAGAACAACAGGATATTTTTGGACCGACAGCATCATTTTAGCCCAGGCCACCCCTCTCTAAAGGGCAGGCATTACATGGACACACCTACTGCCTCCTGAACGTCGCTGACTGCATGCTTTTCTTTACATTGACTCTGTTTTTACTGAATCATATTCTACAAGGAAACTTCCTGTCACAACTACAAGGAGAAAACAAGTATCACTCGGCACAAACAGAGGGGACTATCAAAATAATTGCTAACCTTTCAACGTCTGGCCGTGAGCCACCTAAAGTGATCTTTGGCAAATGTTCCCCACAGGCCAAGCTCTGAATACCTAAACCGATGAGTCAAAGTCACATACAAAAAACAGACACTAGCTTTTTAAAAAATCAGCACCATTCTCTTTAGGTAAAAGTCACCGAAAAATATATTACAACTAGTCCTTTTCTTTCCAAATTAAACCCAAGTCTACTTCCTTTCAGGAGTAAAGCCAGAGGCACTTCCCGTCCCTTCCCAAAGGTAGCCATGAAGTATGGCTGACCCTAATTAATGACTTTCTTTATTTGCATCTGGGTAGAGATAGTAAAAGAACTCTCTGTTCTGAGAAGCAACAGCCCAAACTCCAAAGATGGATCATTCAACGCCCTTCCTTCCCACTTGTTGCACAGATGGCTGAGCTCAAGGTCAAATGACCGCCGTGCTTCCTAAGGGACTGGTGTGCAGGTGGCTCCGTGTCCTTCCGCAGGGAGGCCCCGGCAGGCACAGCTCCTGCACCCATGCTCTACCCTTTGGCGTCTCTCCCTGGGTCTGTCATTCCGGCGTCACTGCCTGTGACCGGCGTGGGCAGGGAGCACCTGGTCTAGTCTTAGTCAACACCGGGGACAGCCCACGGCAGGGGTTCTGTAACGGGCTGGGGGCGGCACAAGTGCAGCTGGGTTGGTCAGGGGTGCAAAGAGCGCTTTCCCACGGGCCGCTGTCAGCGATGCTCCGACCACTCTCATCCCGGGCAGCAAAGAGCTGTTAATGCAACTTCCCACCACGGAGAGAGGAGGGCTGGGGTCTGCGGACTTCACCCCCAGCACAATCCCCTCTTCTGCTCCCCCCACCCCCCCCAAGCTGGTACACCTACTACCACCTCCTCTGTGCCAACAGACACCGAAAACACACACACACCCGCAGTGGGCCCTCCTTACCTGTGGGGTTTGTATTTACTAATTTACCTGCTGCCTCACATCTGTAACCTCAGAAGCAGTACTCAGCACCCTGGTGCCCACTCCCGAACACACACGGAGTGTCCTCCGCACACGCCCAGCGCCAGCTGAGCAGGGAGGCTCTGCCCTCCCGCCTCCATGCTCCTGCGCACACAGGGGTCTTCGTGGTCTCCGTGGTGCCATGTTTCCTGCACTTCTGTGCTTCTTGTTATCTACTTCTCTGTTTAAAACGGCCCTCGCACAGTCCAGCGTTCCCAAAAGCAAGACGCCCGTGGGGCATCTCACGGAGAAAAGTACACGTGTTACACACGCGTCCTTCACGGCCGGAGCTGCGCTGCTGGTCGGGAGCGCAACGCCAACAAACCAACAATATACTCAAATACAGTGTCTTTCGACAGACACATACCTCACACACGGTTCTATATTGATCAGCTGACAAAAAATACTGTGACCAGAGGCTCACAGGAACCTAACCCTTTGTCTCCATAGTAGTGACTCACTGTGCACGAACTCGGTGTGGGCGGGGACTCTACGGACAGAACTCCGGCAAATAATGAGCATCAACTGTACCGTACACCTCATACTACCCATGTCGGGTCAAAAGAGACAGACATTTTAACACCATAAATTAGAAGTGACAGCTTCAGTAAGAAGTTCAGAGCTTCCAACTGAATAAACACACCCCTATAAAGACCCCCGTCACGCGAAGGGCAGTGTTCTTTTTGGTTCATGTGAACAGTGAATCCGCACCACTGATGCCCCCTGGTCCTGGTCCGGCGGGAGCACCAGGCCTGTGGCATCCGGGTCACCACGGACTCCATCACTTGAGGTCTGAGACAGCTGCTGGCAGTCAAGTCCTCTGGGGCCATTTTCTGGCCAGAGTTCTTACTCAACCAGACTCCCAACAAAGCTCTAGGAAGAAGAGGAGATAACGTTACCCGGTGCTGGAGTCCATCTGAGGCTTGGTCCTCCCCTCCAGGCTGTGATAACAACAATTCCTGACATTCTCCCAGGGCTCACATCTACTTTGCATGTATTATGGCTGGCCACACGGGCACTCTTACTATGTCCCCATTTTACGGAAGAGGAAACTGAGGCACAGAGCGGGAAAGACAGGGGTCTGGAGTTATAAAAGTTGCAAAATGGCAAAACTGATACCTTAACCTTTGCCTGTAACCCTGAAATCCAAACTCTTAACCACAAAGCAACAAACCCAGCATCCTGTCCTGAGAATTTCAGATTATGGCCTATAATATCCTTATCTTTATTCTTACAGCAGCTTCAAAATGCAATATACATTCAACAACCACCACTCCCAAATTCTCTATCCTGCAGTCACCTGGCAAAAAAATAATAATAGTAATTCATTGTTACTGGAGGGAGAAACAAACCAACAGAGAAAAACTGCACTGAAGGGATGGAGCTGATCAAACACCTTCCAGCTGGAAGCCCCCGCTGCTCAGAGAAACACTCCCCAGTGCCCCCAGTGCAGACTCTCTGGCATTCTGTTAGTTTCTGCCACTCCTTCTGGACCCAGATTAATTGCTCAACCTTTCTGAGCCTCAGTTTCCTTACCAATAAAACAAGGACAAAAACATACCAACATCAAAGGGCCACTGTGCAACCTGAGTGTGGAAACACTACAGATTCTAAGCAAACACTAGTTCTCCTCCATGGTCAGGGAAGGAGCCAAGCAGCCTGCTGATGTAAATTCTGCCCCCCAAGCAAAAACGTAAGCATGAGCCCTGAGATGCCTCTGCTGCACCCGCCAGGCAGGGGCTCCCTGGGGTTTGAAGCCTGGGGCAAGCCTGTCCTCCAGGTCTGCAGGATACACCATCTGCGTTAGTTTCCCCTTGCTGCTGTGACAAATCACCGCAAATGGACTATCTTACAGAGCTGGAGGTCAGGAGTCCAAAGTGGGTCTCACAGGGCTAAACTCAAAGTGTTGGCAGGGCTGTGTTTCTCCTGGAGGCTCCAGGGGAGAAGCCCTTCCCTGACTTCTCCAGTTTCTCGACACCATCTGTATTCCTTTCCTGGGGGTCCTTTCTCCATCTTTAGGCCAGCAGTATAGCATCTTCCAGGCTCTCTGATTCTGAGGCTCACTCTCCTACATCCCTTCTTTCAAGGATGCCTGAGATGACACTGGGTCCACCTGGATAATCCAAGACAGTCTCTCCATTTCAAAATCATGAACTTAGTCACTATCTGCCATGTAAGGAAACACATTCTCAGGTCCAGGGGATCAGAATATGGGCATCTCTGGGGACCATACATGCTGTAATCTCTGGAGCAACCCAGATTTCATGCTGAGTCTTTTCCATTAAATGTTTGACTTTTTGCATCTGTATTAGTGTCGCTTATAAGATTTGCATATCAACCATACACCAAAAAAAAATCATTAGAACATGGGTCCTGTACTTAAACATGACAATTAAGTCATCTCACAAACCCAGCCACCACCTAAACTGATGCCGGTGGAGGGAAAGAGATAAAGGCAGACCGAGGGGACCAGGGGTGTCTTCTCCTTGCCTGTGATTCCCTTCTTTTGGTTCTCACACTGCAAATTCTGTAGGCATCCCCACCTCCACTCTCAGACCATCGTGTGGTTAAGACATGCAGACTTGATCCCATCAACCAGGGAAGATCTCTGAGTCAGGAAGACACATGAGCAGATGAGCAGTAAGCAGCAGTTTTAGAACGTCCAATAGACATCTTACCGACTTACAGTTAAGAACGTCTAGACTTCTGCCCGGACCATCTAGAAAAGGTTCTTCTCTCTCCCCATTCCCGGGAGCAGAGGCTTTGCTCTGCTTCTTTTATAAACTGGAGATCTGCTTCAAGTATCCTTTCTCTCAGAAAGGTTTGGTTGGGCACCTACTCTGTGCCAGGTTCTCTATGACGGTGATTAACTTGTCACCAGCCGGGCCCCATGGTGTTCCCAAGCCAAATGATCACACAAGCACATGTCAAATTGCAACTGTGCAAGAAAGAAGAGGAGCAGGTGTTCTGAGAGGCTCCTAGAGTGGGATCTGATCTCTAGTGGGAACGTCTGGGAAGCCTCCCGCCCTGAGGACGTGAGATCCCAGTGTAGCTTACTGGAAGACTGAGCTTTGACTAGATGAAGGGGGAGAGGAGGACATTCCAGGCAGACAACAACATGTGCAAAGGCCCTGCATCCAGAGGGAGCCAGGGAGGAGACAATGAACACAGGCCACGTGGCTGGATGAGGAAGGGGTCAAAGCGCGTGGGGATAAGACTGGAAGGAGGCAAGGGCCCGGCAGTACCGTCCAACAGAACTTTCTGTGATGGTGGGAACGTCTGTATCTGTGCCAACCAACACAGCAGGTACTGGCCACATGTGGGTCACTGAAATGTGGCTACTGCCACTAAAGAACTGAAATTTTTTATTTTATTTAAATTTAATTATTTTCAACCTGGATTTAAATGGCCACATGACTACCTTGTTGGGCAGCGCAGGGCCAGAGCATCTAGTGAGATGGCACACTAGGGGACTTTGAGCAGAGTATCTCCATGATCGGAACACATGGCCACATTTTCTCTGGCTGCAAGGTGGGGACCTCACCGGACAATCAGCAGCATGGATGCAGGGAGACAAGTGACGATGATGATAACAGTGATGAAGATGATGCGGGGGGAGGGTGGTAGCAATGCTAAGGGAGATGTGGACAGATTCCAGAGTGACTCAGGGTGCAAAAGTGGCAGGTCCTGATAAAGGATAAGCAAAGGAAGATGAGGGCAGAGGCAGCACCCAGGATGGTGCCTGGGTTTCAAGATTCTGCCACTGAAGTGATAGCCCAGCCGCTCTCCGTGCCCGGGAACACTAGAGGGAGGAAGACCAGGCTGGTGGCGGTGAGACAAGAGGGTAGGGGGCAGGGCACAGCCACTAAAAGAATGATGCAGCATTTAGCACCAAGACAGTGGGTGATTCAACTCCCAGTAGACCCTGAGCTTCAATATACGCTCATATACAATAGCTAACTGGCACTCCCACAGGCGCCGTGACAGTTTCAAGGCTGACCACAAAAGGTCAAAGAGTGGGTGATGGTCCAGTTCCTGGGAATCCCAGCCCCCTCCCCAAAGCAGCTGGAATAATCCTCCCACTTGCTAGCATTCGAAGTTACCGAGCCCATAGAAATGAAGGGCCCCTATACCTTGGAGCCAATCTCATTTTCCCTAATTGAGCGCATGCTCTGAGGCCACCGCTCTCCCTTCCGAGTGAGATGGCCCACACTCTGTCCATGGAGCACGTGTCTACTTTTACTTTAAACTAAACACCCACCCCCATGCCTCACGGCCTCTCTGGCCTTCTGAGATGGCCCTCACTCTGTCCACAGGGTATGTATCTCTCTGAATAAATCTACCTTCACTCAATTATGGCTCACTCTTGAATACTTTCCTGCATGAAGCCAAAGACCCTCACCTGGTAGGGTGCATTCCAGGGACGCGTCCAAGGCCTGGGACACAGGCATCCTCTCGCGCCCCATTTTTCCTGTATCAGTGGGAGCCAGACCTTGAGTTTGGCTCTGGCCAGACTGAGAGGAGGAGTTGGAGGAGGACAGAGGACTTGGTTCCCCAAGTAAGGTGGTCACTGAAGCTATGGGTATGGATGGGCTCAACTCGTACTTCCAAGGTCAAGGAGGTCCAGGACCAAATCTTGAACAACCGCAGCATTTAACGGTCAGACGAAGATGGGGCAGGAGAACTCACAGTACTGTCATGGAAGACACAGGAAAGACTGACAAACTTCATCTCAAAAATTCCCGGTAGACAAGAGAAATAGAAGCATACGCCTATACAAAGACTTGAATGTTCTTAGAAATGTTATTTATGATAGCCCCAAACTGGAAATATTCCAAACATCCACCCTGATGAATAAACAAAACATACTCATACAATGAAATTCTATTAAGCAGTTGAAAGGAACTTCAAAACCATTATGCTAACAAAAAAGAAGCAGACTCACAGAGAGAACAAACCAGTGGTTACCAGTGGGGCGGGGGAGGAGCGCGGGAGGGGAGGCACAAACTACTGGGGGTAAAATAGGCTCAAGGATGTATTATACAATATGAAGAACATGACCAATATCCTGTAATAATTGTAAATGGGAAGTAATCTTTTAAAATTGTACCAAAAATTAAATTAAAAAAGAAAAACTATGCTAAGTGAAAAAAGGCAGACACAAAGACAACACATTGTATAATTCTATCTACACGAAATTTCCAGAAAGGGGAAACCTACAAAAGCAAATCCGTGATAGCCTGGGATTAGCTGCAAACAAGCACCAGGGAACTTTTAGGGGGATGATGGAAATGTTCAAAAACTGGATTGTGGTGATGGCCGCACAAACTCTATAAATTTGTTAAAAAAAAAAAGTCAATGAGCTGTGCCGTAACAATGGGTGCACTTTATCTGATGTAAATCATGTATCAGTAAAGGTGTTTTTTAAAAATAAGTTGAAGTAGACTATGTACCTAAATAGCTCTTTTGCTAAAATTTCCTAGTCCCCCAGGTCCCAATACATCAAAAATCAAAGCATCCTTGCCCAATTAGACCACAAAACCCTGAATTATTACTAAGAGAAAACAAAGTCTCAGTTCTGCTAGAGCCCAGGCTCCTCGCCTTTCCATGATACCTATGACACCAGGGCCTCCACAAACCTGGATGGAACAGTTTACGTATTTAATCATGTCCTGGATTTGATCAGGAAAGAGCAATGAAGCCTCTTAATATTTCTCAACTTCCTACCATCAAAGGTCCCTCCTCTCAAAGAAGTACTCTGGAGATCCCCCAGAGGAAACCTTACATAAAGACCTAATTATCACTTTTTGCCCCAGGAAACACCTAGGATGTATTGAGCACTTAAGAGTTCCAAATTTAACATAGATTAAGTCTCAAAACAATCCTAGGAGGTATACATAATTATTGCTACTCCCACTTTACAGATGAAAAAATTGAGACCCAGAGAGGTAAAGCAGTAATTTTCCCAAGTCACATAGATAGTAAGTGGCAAAACCTAGGCTCAAATCTAGCTCCCCAATCCCATGCCCGCGCTCCTAAAAATCCATCTCTGGTGTTTCATTCCTCAAGAGGAGAACCCCACTGAGCCAGAAGCAAAGCACATGATGTCAGAAAAATGGTTTCCAGCAAAGTGAGGCAAATGCCCTGTTTCCTAATGAAACCACTGTAATAGTCTTCTCAACATCAGGATGTGGTAACTTTCTCAAGAAGAGAAAAGAGCTTTGGGGCTACGGGATTCCTCAAGCAAATAAATTCCATGGTTTTGGCAACATATGCTGAGCGACCCCAGCACTAACTACACTCTGTCTCCTGGGACAGGTGCCACCTATGTTCCTGCTTTTTTTTTAACCACAAATTCCTTCAATGATCCTAAGCTTAGAGCCATTAGGTTAAATGAGTTGATCAGGTTCAAATCCACCCCCTCATACCAACTAGCCCTAGAACCTCCAACAGATTATTTAGTATCACTGAATCTTAGTTTCTTTGTCTATAAAATGAGGGAACTAACGCCAAAAATTCATAGTTACGAGGATTAAAACACAGCCATTTATTTCCAATGCCCAGCAGAGAGCCTGTCCCATCCCATATACAACTGCTGCTTCTCTGAACTCACTTCCCACTTAAACTTCAGGAAGTCTTTCCACCTCTCTGCTTCCAAAAGTGTTTCCAAACACCAAGATCCCCACCTTGACAAGGCTACTCCTAAAAATGCAGATTAAATACAAGAACACATATGCAAATGCCTGAGATTCCAGACACATGGTTTGAATCTGAATTCGTGCCACTGTGCAGGAAATAAATTAGTACTAAAGTGGCAAATTCCAAAGGATGAGCGATCCTACACTTCAATACCAAACAAATCTTTTTTCCCAACTGTCTGCACCACTCCCTCTGGGCCCCCATATTAATGGTGCATATTCCTACCATGATAATCATCACTTTTAAATAATTACTTGCATTTTCATCTCAAGCACTGAATCAGAGGTTCTCAACTATGCCAGCACATTACGGAAGCTTTGAAAAAAATAAAATAGATACTCAGGTCCCACCCCAGATTCTTTTTGTTGTTGTTGTTAATGGAAGTGCTGGGGATTGAACCCAGGACCTCGTGCATGCTAAGGGTGTTGTCCATGACCACTGAGCACTTAAGCTCCCCAGGTGATTCCAATGCACAGCCAGGGTCTAGACGCCGGCCCTTCTTAGGCTGGGCTTGTTTACCTCATCTTTGCCCCCCAGGCCCCCTGCACAGCCTCCACACATAGGAGGCATTTTATAATTGTTTGTGGCATGAATTAATGACTAGAGAATTTTAGAGCCCACTGACCATACGAATTCACTGAGACATTTACTGAGGGCTGTATTACACGCAGGCACTATTCCAGGCATAGGGCTCAGGTTAATTGTCATTCTTCAGCCACGAGTAGTCAGGACTGAAACACAGGCGACCAGTGAAGGAAGGGGTGGAGGGCTGTCGGTTTCTGGGATCCTGAGCTCAGTCTGCATTTTGCAGCATCTTCCCAGCAGTCCTTGACCTCCCTGAGCTCGTTTCCTCCTCTGTATTATAGAAATGGGGCCTCCTCACCGGAAGATTTAAGACAGACGGGGACAAAGACCCCACAAAATGGCAGCTGACATCACTCACTTTTTTCTTTTTTCAATTCGATGGACACCTAGTGAAGCCACCCTCGGGGTTCATCCTCCCCATCCCCCGCATCAAGCAACTGACGCCGCAAAAAGCGGCCGCCACAGGGAAGTGCCCAAAGGGAGCAGGACGCCAAAGGAAGGGCGGGTCCCAGAGGCCCAGCCCCGCCCAGCTGCCGTTCTCGGCCTTCACTGGACATCAGCCTCACCTGGGCAGCCTCGGAAAATGCCCGTTTCCAGGTCTTACCCACAAGAACTGATTGGCGGGTCTGTGCGGGGCCAGAGAATCTGCATTTTAGCCAGATCCCCTCAATCCTTATTCCCAAGTGTCGCAGACGATGCCACAGCCCCTTAAAACCTCAACAGGTCATTGCCATCCTCCGAATAGGAAGAGGGCAGGGCGCAAAATTATCAGCCCGTCCTCTCCCTCCAAGTGAGTGAAACACCCTCACTAGGCTGCCCAGGGGTCTGCCAATGCGGGAAGGCACAGCAGGTGGCGACCCCTACTCTTGCCAGGGGGCTCTTTCCAGCAAATAGTGGGGAACTGTGCGGGGAGGGTCTCCAATCGACCAGAAGGAGCCCCTCTCGCCCTCCTGCGGCTGCCGGTTCGGGTCCAGCCAGGGCCGGGAGGGGAAGGCGGCATTCCGGGGGCTGGGAGCCAGAGGTGCTGACGGGGACCCCGCGGCGCGTCTGCAGAGGAGGCCGTGCCTCCCCCCACCCATAAACTGAACATATCCGGGCTCCCGAGGGCTGTTCCACGCGCAGAGCACGGTTTGATATTGAACAAATCGGCATTACAACGACGAGGACTAACCAGGAAACAATAAAATGGTTAAAAGGCAAGGCTGATCCCAATTCCGCGCGCGTGTAAACAGCGCTGGGCGGGCCCGCCGGCTTCTCCGGGTTTTCTAAAAGGAAAGTGGGAAGGGGCGCGAGGCAGCCGGACGCCTGGGCCCAAAAGGGACCCAGTCGAGCCGGGGACCCCGGGCCGGGGCTGGAGCTGAGCCGAACCCCCTCCCCGCCCGCCTCCCGGGCCCGGCCGCCGGCTCATGGCGCCGGCCAACCTGTCAGGCCCGGCCCGGCGGCCCGAGAGCCAGGCTCCTGCCGCGCGCGGACAAAGGAGCGCGGCTGGCCGGCCCCGGGCCCCGCTTACCCGGCGCGGGGCCTGCTGTCCATCCGCTTCTTCTGGCGCACCGGCTGCAGCGGGATGTTGTCCGTCATGTCTCCTGCGCCGCCCGCCTTGGCCGCCGCGCCCCCCGCGCCGCCTGGGCCGCCGCCCGGTCCGGCCTCCGCGCCGCCGCCCGCCGGCGCCGCGCCGCCCCGGGGGAGGAGGCGGCGGCAGCGGGCGGGCCGGGCCCGCAGCGAGGGGGCGAGCTCGCGAGCGCCGGGCCACGCGCGGAGCCGCCCGCGCGGCCCGACCGACGGACACGGGCGCACCATGGGCCCGAGCT